TACCCATGCTCTCTTCACCCACATTCTCTTTACCCATGCTCTCTTCACCCACATTCTCTTTACCCATGCTCTCTTCACCCACATTCCCTTTACCCATGCTCTCTTCACCCACATTCTCTTTACCCATGCTCTCTTCACCCACATTCCCTTTACCCATGCTCTCTTCACCCATGTTCCCTTTACCCATCTCCCTTCACCCACGCTCTTTTTACCCATGTCCTTTGCTTGAGCCCAGCATGTATTATGTGAAAATTGAAAACTTGAATATGAAGAGAAATATAAAAATAAACAATCAGCGAAGTGCCACCCAACAATACATAAAGAGAAAATGCTGCTAAACATCCATAATGTTGTTCACCAATCTCAATGAAACAACAAAAAAAGGAAAAACTAAATAAATGTCCTTCATATAAAGTGGTAATAGCCCATCACCAATGTCAATAATATGTGATATCTTCAATATTCTTCTGATAATTCTCTTCTTAACTGATCTGATCACCCTGTCCAATTTGCACACTCACCTGTATTGTCAAAGCTTAAAGGTTAAGTTCACCATTTAAACCACTTAAAGTCCGGACACTTTCACCCCCTTCCTGTCCAGGCCAGTTTTCAGTGCTATCACACTTTGAATGACGATTGCGTGGTCATGCAACACTGTACCCATATGAATTTTTTAGTATTTTTTTGAGACAGATAAACCTTTATTTTGGTGGTATTTATTCACCACTGGGATTTTTATTTTTTGCTATACAAATGTAAATATAAAAGTCAAAAAAGTTTGAAAAAAAAAATATTTTTCTTATACAATTTTGCAAATAAATAATCTTTCTTCATAAATCTTGGCCATAATGTATTCAGCTATCTATTTAGTAAAAAAAAAAATAACCCAAATTAGTTTATTACGAAAAATTATAATTTTTCAAACTTTTTTTTACATCGTTATTTTATTGTTTTATATTATTATTTATGTTTTTTTTTTGTTTTTTTTTTAAACATACTGTCACCCTAGCAGTACAGTGTCACCATAGTACTACTTGTGGGGGCTGATTTTTTTTTTCTTTTTACACTGATTGCTTTTACAGCCATAAAGGCTGTAAAAGCAATAATTTCTTCTTCTCTCTGGCTGCATTCTTGCAGCCATTGAGAAATACTGTGAGAGTTGTGATTGGTCACAGCTTGTTACATGGTACAAGGCTGTTGTGAATAGCCTTGTACCATATGACCTCTGTGATCATTCACAGATTTTCACTAGTAGTAAGCAATGATATCAGAAGTGACATCTTGCTTACTACTATTCATGTGATCACAGATTGGCCAATCATTGATCACATGATCGGAACCTCACACAGAGGTTCCGTACAGCAATCGGTGTTTGCTGTGCTGCGCGCTCCCAGGCAGTGGATGAGGGAGGACGTTTCTAAACGGCCACCCGCTCCTGCACTGCTCCCGTCCAGCCGTTTATGTACATTGGCCGGACGGTAAGTGGTTAACAAAAAAATAATAAATGCGCATATTTTTTTTTTTGCAGGTAAGAAAATGTGCATTTTTATTTTTTTTTGTTGCACGAGCCTGTGAAGCATTATACCAGCGATCAGCAGATCATTTATACCATGCAGGTCTCCTGCAGATCTGTCAGTGCATCTGTGTACGAGCAAGCAGATGCACTGACAGGAAGAATCAATGAATTACCACGGCGCTCCACAGTGCTATGGTAGTTCATTGAGAACTACAAGCTGACAGCTGCTAAGGCTGCTGGGACTTGTAGTTCATTCATTCACAGAAATCTGTGAATGAATGACGCCGCTGTGTGGGCGGAGCCCCGCATGACTGAGTTGTTATTGAAGTTGCTGAACTTATCCTTTAAAGTGTTACTAAACCCAGGACCCTGCATTCACTATATCTGGTCTCCCACAGTACACACAACATGAAAGTGTAATTATTTTAGTAAATATAAACAGCTAAATATCTTTTCTCATCAGCAGTTAGAGCAGTCTTGTGACTTCTATCAGTGTTCAGCAGAGCACTGGTTAAATGTTGCAGGAGGAGTTTTTGTTCTGCTCTAGGAGGATGCAGGATCCCTGCCCTCTGTTTGGACAGTGCTGATTGGCCCTGTGCTGATCACATGCACTCTGCCAAGGATAAAAAACCCCTAACAATACACACTAAACTGAGCATGTGCAGAATGGCTACGGTTCAGTCTGTCTTATCAGGAGGTAAGACGTGGACATTTGAACAAGAGGAGGTGCAGAGAAAACAGGATCATACAGTCTTTTTACACAATGCACAGGATTAACCCCTTAGGTTCCACAGTGAGTATAACAAGCATGCTTTACTGCATATACAGACTGATTTTACTGTTGTGGGTTTAGTAACACTTTAAAGCTCCATTCACACTAAGCTGAGCATTTTTCAGGTGTTTTTTCAAGCTTTTTTTTTTCATGCATCTGTTTTTTTTGAGCAGATATGCAAATTTTATAGGTGTTTTTTTCAGGCGTTTTTCATTTAGGTGTTTTTGCTGTGGCCAATAGAAATAGCTGCTGTTTAAGCTGAAAAACGCCTTAAAAAAAAAACACTTGAAAAAGCACTCATTCCCACTCACTGTTCAGGAATTTTCCATTCAAATCTATGGGGACAAAACGCTCCGATCTGCCTGAAAAGTAGCGCAAGCACTTTTTTGAGTGACAGACGTTTTGCTACAGGCGACAGTGTAAACAGGGGCCATTTGAAATAATGGGATTTTACTTGAGTGTTTTTGAGCGCCGAGCTGAAAAACACTCAAGTGTGAATAGGGTTTAATTGAACAATCTGAAGTTAGAAGCTGATTGGCTATCATGCTCGGCTGTACCCTACTCTAAGTGCTCCCCCTGTAGTGCCCAGGCAGTTTCCTGCAACAGCTTTGCAGATTCTTGTGTTATCTATTATTATTATTTATTTCAGGTACTTATATAGCGCTGTCAATTTACACAGCACTTTACATATATATTGTACATTCACATCAGTCCCTAACCCTCAAAGGGTGTACAATCTAAGGTCCCTAACTCACATTCATACATACACATACTAGGGACAATTTAGACAGGATCCAATTCACCTACCAGCATGTCTTTGGAGTGTGGGAGGAAACCAGAGTACCCACAGGAAACCCACGCAGGTACAGGGAGAACATGCAAACTCCAGGCAGCTGGTGCCGTGGCTGGGATTTGAACCAACGACCCTAGTACTGCCAGGCAGAAATGCTAACCATTTAGCCACTGTGCTGCCCATGTATTACTGCTAAATTAACAGTGCAATGGTGGTTATCAAGGCCCAATGAGCAGTCAGGGGATGGAAGAGGCTACAGAGCTAAATTGGTAAACAGTGGTGTCACCTTGCTGTGTATGTAGAGTGGCAGGTGAATGTCAACCACAAATCCTTTGGAAAGTAAAACAGTTAAAAATAATAATTTCACCAAGTTTAAAGTGTTACTAAACCCACAACAGTATAATCAGTCTGTATATGCAGTAAAGCATGCTTGTTATACTCACTGTGGAAGCTAAGGGGTTAATCCTCTGCATTGTGTGTAAAAAAGGCTGTTTGATCCTTTCTTCTCAAATGTCCACACTGATAGGACAGACTGAACCCGTAGCTCTTCTGCACATGCTCAGTTTAGTGTGTGTTGCTAGAGAGGTGTTTTTTTTCTTGGGAGAGTGCATGTGATCAGCACAGGACCAATCAGCACTGACCAGGCAGAGGTCAGGGGTTTTGCATTCTCCTAAGTCCTCATGCACACTGGATGTTTTTGGCTTTTGCCATTTTTTTCTACAGCCAGTAAACCCCCCAGCATGTTATCCTATGTGTCCATGCACACAGAGACTGTAGTCAACGTTTTTTGGCTGGAAAAAAACCCAGGACTAGTGGGCTTCTAGGAGTTTTTTTTAGCTCTAAAAACACTCTAATGTAGAAAAACGCGGTAAAATATGGTAATGCACCACGAACCGGCGTTTTTGGACTTTTTTTGACGCAAAAAAATTATTTTTTTTGGTAAAAACAAAGCACTAAAAAACACAAATGCAAAAAAAGCCACTAATCTCTAATGCAAAAACGCTAAAAAAAGCTGAAAAACTCATGTTTTTAACGTGACTTTAAATAGCTAATGTTACCAGTGTTATCAAAACGTCCCGTGTGCATGGAGCCTAAAGCAGAAAGAAACTCCTCCTTCAAGCTTTAACCAGTGCTCAGCTGAAGTCACAAGACTGCTCTAACCGCTGATGACAGGTATTTATCAGTTTATATTTACTAAAATAATTGCATCTCCCTGTTGTGTGTACTGTGGGAGACCAGATATAGTGACTGCAGGGTCCAGGGAGACCAGATATAGTGAATGCAGGGTCCGGGGAGACCAGATATAGTGAGTGCAGGGTCCAGGGAGACCAGATATAGTGAATGCAGGGTCCGGGGAGACAAGATATAGTGAGTGCAGGGTCCGGGGAGACCAGATATAGTGAATGCAGGGTCCGGGGAGACCAGATATAGTGAATGCAGGGTCCGGGGAGACCAGATATAGTGAATGCAGGGTCCGGGGAGACAAGATATAGTGAGTGCAGGGTCCGGGGAGACCAGATATAGTGAATGCAGGGTCCGGGGAGACCAGATATAGTGACTGCAGGGTCCGGGGAGACCAGATATAGTGAATGCAGGGTCTGTGGAGACCAAATATAGTGAATGCAGGGTTCGGGGAGACCAGTTATAGTGAATGCAGAATCGTGGAGACCAGATATAGTGAATGCAGAATCGTGGAGACCAGATATAATGAATGCAGGGTCCGGGGAGACAAGATATAGTGAATGCAGGGTTCAGGGAGACCAGATATAGTGAATACAGAGTCCATGGAGACCAGATATAGTGAATGCAGGGTCCGGGGAGACAAGATATAGTGAATGCAGGGTTCGGGGAGACCAGATATAGTGAATGCAGAGTCCATGGAGACCAGATATAGTGAATGCAGGGTCCGGGGAGACCAGATATAGTGAATGCAGAGTCCGGGGAGACCGGATATAGTGAATGCAGGGTTCGGGGAGACTAGATACAATGAATGCAGGGTCCGGGAAGACCGGATATAGTGAATGCAGGTCCGGGAAGACTGGATATAGTGAATGCAGGGTCTGGTGAGACTAGATATAGTGAATGCAGGGTTCGGGAGACCAGACATAGTGAATGTTTAGTAAAACTTTATTGATCAAGTGTTAAAGCGAAACTGCTGGTTTAGTCTAGGGAACGGAAATAGCAAGTTTACTGCTTACTGAGACGGCACTCCCCTCAACTCCAACAGCTGGATGTCCCTCAGCGTCCTCACATCTAATACGAAGCTATGGACCCTGCATTGGTCTTGATAACATCAGGACCTTAGACTGCTGGAGTGCAGGGGAGAGGAGGCTGCAGGGGCTGGTCTAGCAGTGCGGAGGAGCCTGCAGGAGTGGAGGATAAGGGTAAGTAAATCCACTTTTGCATGCTCCCAAAGAGACCTAGAAGAGCAGCTATCCCTTGTACTGCTGACTTGACATTTCCGGGAGCCCAGCTTTAAGGATATCATGCCTGTTCCAGATCCTTCATAACTAATACAGAGACAAACGTTCCCTGCCAAGAATAACAGGCAAAGTCTGAGCTTATAGCCGCCGCGCACCATGTGACATACAAACAGGTTTGAAAACTGGGTGAAAGGGCATTATATCTGAGGAATGACTACACGTGCTTCTCTCTGTTTGCAGTGCTGAAAATAAACCATCTGCTATCTTACATAGTAAAGACTTGGTGGGTCTGTTTCTGTAGACTTTCGCCCAACTGCATCCCACCGTGAACCCACTCCTACCTAGAAATGTACTGGCAGCCCCCCAAAACCTGCTCTGACCCTCGTTGTGAGACGTCCATTTCTACAAACCAGCTGTCCTCATAAGAGAGTAGCCTGTCAATACAGAGAGCTGTCTGGACATGAATGTACAGGTTGGGCCACCTGATCCAGTCAGGCAGACTGATGTCTAGTCACACGACTAATATGGGGAATAAATAGGTGCTCATCTCCATATATCAGACCTCTCGACCTTTTCACATTCCAGCGGACATCTGCGGTCTATGAATGCCGACGGCGTCCTACATATAGCTCAATTATTATTTATTTCAGGTACTTATATAGCGCCGTCAATTTACAGAGCACTTTACATGTATATTGTACATTCACATCAGTCCCTAACCCTCAAGGGGTGTACAATCTAAGGTCCCCAACTCACATTCATACATACACATACTAGGGACAATTTAGACAGGAGCCAATTAACCTACCAGCATGTGTTTGGAGGGTAGGAGGAAACTGGAGTACCCGGAGGAAACCCACACAGGCACAGGGAGAACATGCAAACTCCAGGCAGGTGGTGCCATGGTTGGGATTCGAACCAGCGGCTCTAGTACTGCCAGGCGGAAGTGCTAACCATTTAGCCACTGTGCTGTCCATTATTACCAAATTAGGGCTAAAACAATAGTACATGGGCATTTTGATGCTGAGTTGGTGATCGCAACCAATAAGGGTTGCCACCATTTCTGGAAAAAATGATCTGTCTTTTTTGTTTCTTTCATATTAAAGTGTTACTAAACCCACAACAGTAAAATCCCATTATTTCCAATAGCCCCTGTTCACACTTGAGCGTTCTGTCGCCTGTAGCAAAACGCCTGTCGCTCAAAAAAGTGCTCAGGCAGATCTGAGTGTTTTGTCCCCATAGACTTGAATGGAAAATGCCTGAGCAGTGGGAATGAGTGCGTTTTCAGGTGTTTTTTTCAGGCATTTTCAGCTCAAACAGCAGCTATTTTTATTTCTATTGGCCACAGCAAAAACTTGTAAATGAAAAACGCCTGAAAAAAACACATATAATATTTGCAAATTTGCTCAAAAAAACCCACAACAGTAAAATCAGTCTGTATATGCAGTAAAACATGCTTGTTATACTCACTGTGGAACCTAAGGGGTTAATCCTCTGCATTGTGCAAAAAGGATGTTTGATCCTTTCTTCTCTGCTCTTCCTCTTGTTGAAATGAGCACCTAATGCAGACTGAATCTTGGTCACATGCACATGCTCAGTTTGGTGTGTATTGCTAGAGAGGTTTTTGTTTTTTTTTTCTTGGGAGGGTGCATGTGATCAGCACAGGGCCAATCAGCACTGTCCAGACAGAGGTCAGGGGTTTCATATCCTCCTAGAGCAGAAAGAAACCTCCTCCTACAAGCTTTAGCTAGTGCTCTGCTGAAGTCTGAGAGACAAAAGCCACAAATATTGTACAGTGGCTGGAGAACATCATGAAGATTGGTTAACCACTTCCCGTCCGGCCGCTGTTTATAAACGGCAGGACGGGACACCTACAGGAGCGGGTTGCCGTCTCTAAACGGCACCTTGCATCTGAGGCTCGTGCGCGGCTCCTAGAGCGCGCACCCGCGAGCCCGATGATCGCCGAGTCCGACGGACACGGTGGATTACGTGACATGGTATGGGACCAATGAAATCGGTCCCATACCATGTGATCAGCTGTGTCCAATAAGGACACAGCTTAAGTGTAAACAAAAGCCGCATGGTGCGGCTTCCGCCTCCTTCTCCTCTCACGGAGTTGTCTGTGAGAGGAGAAACAGCGAAGAAAAGGGCTGTAGCTAACTGCCCTCCACCTCAGTGACACCTGATCGCCCCTAAAGTGTCCCTGATCGCCCCTAAAGTGGCCCTGATCGCCCCTAAAGTGGCCCTGATCGCCCCTAAAGTGGCCCTGATTGCCCCACGTGTCCCTGATCACCCCAATAAGTGGCCCTGATTGCCCCAACAAGTGGCCCTGATCGCCCCCACAAGTGTCCCTGATTGCCCCCACAAGTATCCCTGATTGCCCCAAGTGGCCCTGATTGCCCCAAGTGGCCCTGATCGCCCACAAGTCCTGATCGCCCACAAGTGGCCCTGATTGCCCACAAGTGGCCCTGATCGCCCAACAAGTGGCCCAGCAGTGTCCCTGATTGTCAGTGTCCCTGATCACCACATAGTGGCCCAGCAGTGTTCCTGATCGCCACAGTGTCCCTGATCGTCACAGTGTCCCTGATCGCCGCAGTGGCCAAGCAGTGTCCCTGATCGTCACACAAGTGTCCCAGCAGTATCGCCGCAGTGGCCAAGCAGTGTCCCTGATTGCCACACAAGTGGCCCAGAAGTGTCCCTGATTGCCGCAGTGGCCCAGCAGTGTCCCTGATCACCGCAGTGTCCCTGATTGCCGCACAAGTGGTCCAGCAGTGTCCCTGATCGCCGCAGTGGCCCAGCAGTGTCCCTGATCACCGCAGTGTCCCTGATTGCCGTACAAGTGGTCCAGCAGTGTTCCTGATCGCCACAGTGTCCCTGATTGCCGCACAAGTGGTCCAGCAGTGTCCCTGATTGCCGCAGTGTCCCTGATTGCCGCAGTGGCCCAGCAGTGTCCCTGATCGCCACACAAGTGGCCCAGCAGTGTCCCTGATCGCCGCACAAGTAACCCAGCATTGTCCCTGATTGCCGCACAAGTGGTCCAGCAGTGTCCCTGATCGCCGCAGTGGCCCTGATTGCCGCAGTGGCCCAGCAGTGTTCCTGATCACCACACAAGTGGCCCAGCAGTGTCCCTGATCACCGCATTGGCCCAGCAGTGTTCCTGATCACCACACAATTGGCCCAGCAGTGTCCCTGATCCCCACATTGGCCCAGCAGTGTTCCTGATCACCACACAAGTGGCCCAGCAGTGTCCCTGATCGCCGGATAAGTGGTCCAGCAGTGCCCCTGATCACCGAAGTGTCCCTGATCACCGCAGTATGCCAGCAGTGTTTCTGATTGCCACACAAGTGGCCCAGCAGTGTCCTGATCATCGCAGTGGCCCAGCAGTGTCCCTGATCACCGCAGAAGTGGTCCAGCAGTGTCCCTGATCGCCGCAGTGTCCCAGCAGTGTCCCTGATCACCGCAGTGTCCCCGATTGCTGCATAAGTGGTCCAGCAGTGTCCCTGATCACCGCAGTGTCCCTGATTGCCGCAGTGGCCCAGATCACCACACAAGTGGCCCAGCAGTGTCCCTGATGATCACCACACAAGTGGCCAGCAGTGTCCCTGATTGCCGGACAAGTGGTCCAGCAGTGCCCCTGATCACCGCAGTGTCCCTGATCACCGCAGTATGCCAGCAGTGTTTCTGATTGCCACACAAGTGGCCCAGCAGTGTCCTGATCATCGCAGTGGCCCAGCAGTGTCCCTGATCGCCGCAGAAGTGGTCCAGCAGTGTCCCTGATCGCCGCAGTGTCCCCAGCAGTGTCCCTGATCACCGCAGTGTCCCCGATTGCTGCATAAGTGGTCCAGCAGTGTCCCTGATCACCGCAGTGTCCCTGATTGCCGCAGTGGCCCAGATCACCACACAAGTGGCCCAGCAGTGTCCCTGATCACCACACAAGTGGCCAGCAGTGTCCCTGATTGCCGGACAAGTGGTCCAGCAGTGCCCCTGATCACCGCAGCAGTGTCCCTGATCACCGCAGTTGCCCAGCAGTGTTTCTGATTGCCCCACAAGTGGCCCAGCAGTGTCCTGATCATCGCAGTGGCCCAGCAGTGTCCATGGTCGCCGCACAAGTGGTCCAGCAGTGTCCCTGATCGCCACAGTGTCCCTGATTGCCACACTGTCCCTGATCGCCACACAAGTGGCCCAAAAGTGTCCCTGATCACCGCAGTGGCCCAGCAGTGTCCCTGCTCACCATACAGTGGCCCAATCAGTGTCCCTGATCACCTTACAGTGTGCCTGTTCATAAAGTGTCCCTGATCTCTGCCACACCAGTGGATCCTGTTCACTGCCATCGTCTGTGAGGAGAGAGATCCAGTACAGCTAACTGTGAGTAATTTTCAGCCTTTGCACAGAGTTTACACACACTCACAAAACATTGCCAGCCACCTCACTGTATCTCTGATTTTTGCCCAACAGTGACTAGTGTGAACCAACTGCAGCCAGATATCTGTCCCTCACTGCAACACCATCCTGATCACTGCCATACCAGTGGGTCCTGATCAGTGTCAAAAATATGGCCAAAAGATCATATACAAGCGAGGAGGCATTTCAAATTCTGAGTATGACAGATGAGAGTGACGGAGAACTTAAAACATACCTTGGGGTGTTTGCTTTCCAAAAATGGGGTCAATTTGTGGATAATTCCATTGTCCTGATGCTCCAGGACCTCCAAAACGGCAATAGGTAGTCAAGAAATTAGATGTGTAATTTTTGCCCTTAGAACGCTAACAGGTGCTTATTGGAT